GAATCCATGATTGGGAATTTTGCATGAGGGCAAAAGATTTTCCGTGATAGCTCAAGTTGGTGACATACATTCACTGGCTTGGTTCGAAAGTGATTTCTGTGTGAGCTGTGCTATAGCTCTACACAACTGACAGTAGATAACAGACCTTCTCCACGACTTTACTGTGGAATTAAGGCCCGTTCGCTGCAAGAACGATAACTATAATGATATATAAAACTATAAAGATAACTATAAATACATTAGTGTCCACACCGTCTGTTCATTATAAGTGTGCTGTAGTTGTGTCGTCTGCTGCTTTAAATGCTCAAGTTCATTAAAGTGGATTCTGACTGGCTTTCAATGTTTTTGTCGTTCAAAAAACTGTTATAGTTTATTAAACTAAATCTGAAACAATAAAAATAAATACATACATAAAAATCTCTACTTAATCTTTAAAATAAAAAATATATATAAAAAATGAAATTAAATGAAATTAAAGTAAATGAAATAAAATAAAATAAAATAAAATAAAAACTTTGGTAACACTTTGTTTAAAGCCTTTATATATAATGAATTATAAAAGTAATTTTAATGCATGAATTGTATGATCTCATGGATAATTGTAAACAGTTATAATAAGTTATAACACTTATTGCTACACCTTTAGAAAGAATAATGAATTAAAACATGACACACAAACTTTCAATTATTATAATGCATTTTAACTTTAATTTAATGCATATAACTTTGGTTACTATTATTTATGAAAAGAGATAACGCATTAAAACATATGATTATAAGCACCTCTATAATGCATAAAATATAGAGCTTTAAGTGTTGCCAGAACGTTTTATTTAAACGATGCAAGGCATCGTTTTTCATTTTAATTCAGTTTAACTTGCGCTACAATAACTAAAACAAAAAAAAGGGACAAAAAACAAACAAAACAATATTACTAAAACGTTAAATAAAATCAGAAAATATAAACATAAAAACTATGAATAAAATATAACAGTTTCTCAATGATACTAAAATAGCACTGATTCCAGTCGATATTGTTATCGACTCACAGAATTAGAACAATTATTAAAACTTTATCATTATCTTTATAATTAACACCGCTCACTGAACATTTCACTTTAAAAGTGTTGTGAAACGTGCACAAAGCAACGCAATATCATTTCACAAAAATGTCACCACAAGCACATTATTCCAATGAGCCTGGGTTATATATATATTTGACATTCAACACAAAAATGGGGTGGGACTTGATTTTATCCCTTGGAAGTGATGCGATTGTGAAAGAAATGGGCATTACATTCCAGAATTTGCTTAAAATGAGTAGCTATTTGGCCACTGACTGACATTATCCCTACACTGTAAAAAATGATTGTGATTTTAACAGTAAAAGACTGTAAAAATGCTACAGTAAAAACCTGTTAATTGGTTAACAGTAAGTTTCCATAATATATTCGGTGAATAAATGTAATTACAGTTAACGTAATTTTACAGTAAAATACTCTTAAAAATACGGGTTTTGGAAGTGAAAAAGAAAAAGTCATTGTTTAATTTACAGTGAAAAACCGTAAATTGACACTCCCAGAATTCCCTGTATGACACTTCATATTTGATGTTTTTTTGTTGAAATAACGTTTCTTCTTAGTTTTTTTCTTATCAGTTGTGTACATTAGGGTTTAATCTTTCATCTAATGTTGTTAAATGAATGTTTATTGCATCATTTCAGTTTCATGTGTGTCACCGTGATGGTGTTTAGTGTTTGTGTGAATGAAACTGTGCACCTTCTATATATAAGTATTGCCCTCCTCAGCTCGTAGAAAAGCTGTTTGTGATGAGCTTTGGTTCATCGTGTGACTTTCTCATCATCACCAGTTTTTGGTGGTTATCAGTGCATTACAATGGTTCAAAACAGATATTAGTACCTCAATGTGTTGGTTTATTAACATTACATCAGTTAATGAAATACGGTATTTTATTGTGAATTTAAGTCAAGTCTGTAAAACCTAAAATGTTGCTACCATATTTTTACGGTGAAGTTCTGGCAACCACAGCTGCCGGTATTTTACCGTAAATGTCACAGATTTTTTTTTTACAGTGTAAGGTAAAGTAAACAGGCTCAATTCCGACTTCAGATTTTGACTTGAACAACATTTAGTTTCATTTGAGCTTGGTATTGCTTTACCAAACAAATCGTGTTTGCTTCCAAACAACAGCAAAGGCTTCAGAAATACTAAAGTTACAGCCGAACCCAGCTGAAGGGCACCAGGTTAAACGTGTCTACTAGTCCTCTGTGACTTCATAGTGGGCCATTTAGAGGAATAAAGAGCCGTAATGAGAGCGTGACTGTGAACAGCATGTCTTTAATGTTTCAAATGACATTAAAAGTCTCTGCAAAGCCCCAAATGAAGCAGCTGTCTAACAAAACACTATGTGTGGTTTAACCAGCTCCAAACTCCAGTTTAAACACAAACAAAACCCAGAGACGTGGACTTCTCAAGCAGATCTTCATAGTGTACTTAAAGCCTGAAACGCATGCAAGTACGTGAACATAAACGCTTCTACCTACGCAAGGTCAAATGCTCATATTTTTACGTTCAGATTGCAATTCATATTTCAACATAACGCAGAGTTTGCATACAGGTAGATGATGTTTCTGGCCTTAGAAAGCATGAAGAGAGCTGTAACAAAAGGAAGCAGCCGCAAATATTTGATGCTGGATGTATCTTTGTGTATCACATCGTCTTATAAAAGTAAATAACAGCTGTTTACTTCCTGTATATGTGCAAACAAAATATTTAGGTATACTGAAATCTACGCTCACCTTCGTCACCATCCCACCCGAGAGCGTTTACACAAATCACTTCAGCTTGTGTTTATGATGCTTCACTTATTGACCTGAGACTGGTAACATTTAAAAATCATTCATTTGGCTAAAAGCGGAAGTCAAAGCTTTATTTGGATTTGATTTTATTATTTCTGTCAACCTCTTTAAAAAAGCCATAAAACTCAAAACAGATGGTTCACAAAAGAGCAGGATTTGACCTTTGCATCATCCTTGAGAACGAATGAAAGACACTTTCTAGCTCTCTCTAAGTCCAAAAGCTCCTCCTTCACTCAGAAAGCATTTTTGCAATTAAATAAAGTGACTTTAAGTCCTCTTTTTCCTAGCCCGGCTGTAGGGCTGGGCGATGTGGCCAACAATATTATGATCATATATATATTTTTCCATGCAATAAAATACCAATATTTATCACAATATTTAATATTAAGCATTGATGGGGAAGGAAATACATGTTTGTTAGACCTTGAGAGTGAACAGAACATGTTTGTTCTTAATTAAACTAAGTAGATGCCCTTAATTTAAGGCCTCATGAAATCGGGTTTATTTTTCCCCAAAATTTTACTGTACTTTTTTTTTTTTTTTTCTGGATTCTGTGTTTTATGATTTAATACAAATGCATCGTCAAAAATGTTGTCTAATGAAATGAATTGATATAAACGTCAGCAATTCAAGCAAATGAAAATATAACAATTAATTTACAACAAAACATTGCATTTAATTTTTTTGTCAAATAAGATGCTGCACAACAGAACTGTATGTTTAATATTAAAACATGGATGAAAGATACCAGCTAGGTAACTTCCAATAAGCCTCTGGTCATTTTTGAGCGAGATGCTAACGGTCTAATCAGATTCAATGATCTATGCTAAGCTAAGCTAAAAGTGCTACCGCCAGACCCGGAGATCGGCTGAATGGATTCGAAAACAGTAAAACTCAACTGTTTAACTCTAGGGGAGTTGGAAAATTAGCCTATTTTCAAAAATAGTGGAGTGTTCCTTTAAGAAGTTGTGAAATCTGTGAAAACACTATCAGGACGCAGAGGAACAGAAGAAAACGGTTGCTCAAAAACAGACAATTGAGAGTGTAAATATGAAGTATCTCAGCGAGAGGGGAAAACCCAAGCGGAGGAGAGAGAGAGAGAGAGAGAGAGAGAGAGAGAGGGGGAGAGA